CAGAGGTCGCTACGAGCGGGGTTTCCCACTGCGCGTGCCACTCCAGCCCACTCCACCGATCCTTGAACAACCAGTTGGCAGCTCACACATTTTCCTGGTGGTTATACATCTAGCTGAAGTTGTATTCGTCTGAATGTCTGGACATGTTCCACCAACGTTTCTGGCTATTCTGCTAGCTGCCAAACGAACGGGGCATTTATAGGATGCTCTGGCTCAGAAGCATTCAATATCTACCAGTCGTGATCATTTGTTCCGAGTCTTATCGCGTAACATCCAGTGCGCTCGTATACCACTGTTTTTGTGTGCATCTTCATGCAACTATTAACAGCAGTGCATTTCCTTATTTTCCGTTTTCGCTTATTTCATATTTCGTGGCTCTTTGGGTCTCTTCAGATTCTTTAGCGTCTTGTGAACGCGGTGGTGGGATGAGGAATCGGAAGTTATAACCCTCGCCCTGGCAGCGGGGAGGTTGATGCAACTAAGGTTTTTTCAAAGATAGCGTAAACACAGCGGCGCGCAGCGCCGCCAAATTTGGCACGGCCTATGGGGCAACCTTTTTACATATGACCTGAAAATGTCAGGTCCAAGTGACCTTGGGTCAGGTCACCAGGTCAGAAAAACCGGTACAACGTCCTTGTCAAACTTCAATTTTCTTTTTGCACCTGTTTAACTCACAGTTTTTCACTGATTTCCTTCAAACTTTGAGGATGTGGTAAGCTCACGGAGTTGTATAGCATATATGTCGTTTTTTATGTCACTGATCTGAGGTCAGTTAGAGGTCAATACGTCGTAATGTTAAGCCTATGGAAAAATACTAAATTCGGAAAATACTGGAGACATATCCGCTTCATTCTATCACTTTTGTGCTTTGAAACCACAATGCTTATCAGCAGGTCACTTGGTGCTTCTTTGTTTGGTGTACTTATCCATGGGTCAGTTCAAATGAGGTCAACTGAGGTCAAATGACGTTTTTGCCAATAACATGGCACATAATGACGCTAGAGCTTAAAAAATGATGTCATTGTGTTCCTGGTGATCAGCCGAATCGAATGATATGCGATATGATGCAATTTGGTTAACCCGCGCCCCGTTGGGCTCTTCCGAGCAACGCGCCCTGTTGGGGGGGGGGGGCAATTTTGCCCCCCCCCCCCCCCTAAGATCTCGAGAACCACGCAACCTAGCGACAAGCGGCAAACGGTGTTGGATAGCCCTATCAGGGAACTACCTTGTGACCCAATTTTATTGACCTAGGTGAAACCGATGACGTCACAGGTCAGGTCAAATGTCGAATTTTCACCGTTAAACAGGCATTTCAAGAAATGCGTCGTAAAATCGAGTGAAATGCATTTCATTGAAAATCATCGATAGGGAAATGTTCTTCAAACACATATTTTGCTATTTGAGGTCACTGATACCAGGTCAGGTCACAGAGGTCAGGTCACTAAGTGTCACAATATGAAAATATCATGTGATGCGTGTATTATGGTCCATTTTATATGCCAAATACGATTATGTGGGTCAGGCAGCCTTTGGGGTCAGTTTAGACTATGTTTTGGTGAAGGTCAGGTCAAGGTCAGGTCAAATTAGGTCAAATTTCAAAGTTGATATTTTTGCATAAAATGGGTGTATTCATTTGATGCAGCTTGTCACGCGGAGTCCAATGGTAGTCTTTGTTGTGCCCTACGTATTCTAGAATTGCCAAAAATTGAGTTTGACAATTTGACGTCATCATTTTTGACCAGTTTTTCGCTATAACTTGGCCCAAAAACGAGATATTGATCTGAAATTTGGTATATAGACAGAAGACGGTAGGTAGTATCACATATATTCCGGTTTTTACGAAACTCAAAAACTTTTTGTATTTTTTGGCTAATATATCCAAAAAAATGCATTTTTGATTTTTTCACAAATTTCAAAAATTCGAGATAGCAGTTTTGTAGCCCTGTTAATTCTACACCTTTTATGTCGTGATCATTTTTCTATATCTTCAAAGCTGTAGGCCTGACAGCTCTTCTCGCGAAGGTCTTTTTTCGGTCGAAAATGGCAGAACATGACGTCATTCTGACGTCATTTGTGGCCAACCTATCATAGCCTCTGGAAACATTTTTGGTCACAATGTGTAAAGTTGATGCCCGGAGGGATCCTGAAAGTTTGGTGGCGATATCTGCAGCCGTTTTGCAGGTATCGACGGAAAAGGACAGGGGGCCGTTTCGGCCCCCCTACGGGGCGCGGGTTAAGGAGGCCCTGAGGGCTCTAGGGAAGCACTGCGAGAACTGTGTTTGTCTTAACAGTGGTTATTTGGATAAAGGAACATTTTTAGTCTGGTAAGTCGATGTCGTTTCTCTACTCCTTCATGGTCGGGCCGAGAACTTTTTGAACACCCCTCGCGTACATTAGGGAAGCCATCTCACTTCCCCATGGGGCAGTCGGTAGATTAACCCGCGCCCTGCTGGGGGGGGGCTGTTTGAACACCCCCCTTGTGGTTTTTCGCGAATATCTCAAAAACGGCGGCGCGGAGCGCCGCCGTTTTTGGCACACCTTATCATACATCAATTCTACACATGTTGTGAAAATTTCAGACCAAGGTCATTCAAGATCAGGTCACCAGGTCACTTGAAGTGACCTCACCTCATAAAAAGTTTCAATGTCTGTCATAGCTACACCGAGTGACCGATTGCTTTGAAGCTTTCAGCGATTGCTAAGAGCAATAGCATGTACAAAATTTTAATCTCAGAATTTTGATATCGATGACCTAAGGTCAGGTCAATTTTGCAACCTCCCCATTATAAGTCAATGGGAGAAAATTGAAATGCGCCTCTTTTGGACGAAAGACATTATAAACACTCCCAACCACTGAATTACAAGTGGTTTAGACACACTGAACATGAAAATGGTGTCCGTGACCCCTGTTTATGCCCTGAGGTCATCTTAGGTCACGAATGGTATATAACAGTTTTTCGCAAATAACTTTTGATAGAGGCATGCTAGAGCGATGAAAACGCCTTAGATGTGTTCAGCTCGACGATACGGATCGACTGATATGCAACATGACCCTTTCCGGTCAGGTCATGACCTTGACCTGAGGTCAAATTTTCAAGTTGACCTTTCAAGGTCAAGTTATAGTTCATTCGATGCGTCTTGACGAGAGGAACACGATGCCGGTAAAAGTAAGCTCGTACAAGGCTTGGGTCAAAAGTTATTGCAGAAAAACTGTTTCCGAGAAATCGGCTATTTTTGCAGTTTTTGCCCCCTGCAGGCAAAACCGTTGACGTTAGGTCAAATCTGAGAACATTAATCAGAAAGGGCGTTAACCCGCGCCCTGCTGGGGGGGGGTGTTTGAACACCCCCCCTGTGGTTTTTCGCGAATATCTCAAAAACGGCGGCGCGGAGCGCCGCCGTTTTTGGTACACCTTACCATACATCAATTCTACACATGTTGTGAAAATTTCAGACCAAGGTCATTCAAGGTCAGGTCACCAGGTCACTTGAAGTGACCTCACCTCATAAAAACTTTCAATGTCTGTCATAGCTACACCGAGTGACCGATCGCTTTGAAACTTTCAGCGATTGCTAAGAGCAATAGCATGTACAAAATGTATATCTCAGAATTTTGATATCGATGACCTAAGGTCAGGTCAATTTTGCGACCTCCCCATTATAAGTCAATGGGAGAAAATTGAAATGCGCCTCTTTTGGATGAAAGACATTATAAACACTCCCAAACACCGAATTACAAGTGGTTTAGACACACTGAACTTGAAAATGGTGTCCGTGACCCTTGTTTATGCCCTGAGGTCATCTTAGGTCACGAATGGTATCTAACAGTTTTTCGCAAATAACTTTTGATAGAGGCATGCTAGAGCGATGAAAACGCCTTAGATGTGTTCAGCTCGACGATACGGATCGACTGATATGCAACATGACCCTTTCCGGTCATGTCATGACCTTGACCTGAGGTCAAATTTTCAAGTTGACCTTTCAAGGTCAAGACATAGTTCATTCGATGCGTCTTGACGAGAGGAACACGATGCCGGTAAAAGTAAGCTCGTACAAGGCTTGGGTCAAAAGTTATTGCAGAAAAACTGTTTTCGAAAAAATCGGCTATTTTTGCAGTTTTTGCCCCCTGCAGGCAAAACCGTTGACGTTAGGTCAAATCTGAGAGAATTACTCAGAAAGGGCGTTAATAGGGCTATCGAATGCGCTTTTCCGCGGCGCTGTAGCTCTATTGGTTCCCGAGTTAAGCGTTGGCTTCTTGGAAATTGTCGACATTCGACCTGGAAATCGGCGAAATTTTGCCTTCAATGACCTCTGGTGACCTGACCTTTGACCTGACCAAAAAATTGACCGAAGTGATTTCGTCATTATTTTTTACGCTCTTTCGAACGCCGCCTTCTGCGTATCGCTACGTGGCCCAGGAGCCGAGTTACAAGGGGGGGTGTTCAAACACCCCCCCCCCCAGCAGGGCGTGGAAATCCAGGACCCCCAGCAGGGCGCGGGTTAATAGGGCTATCGGATGCGCTTTTCCGCGGCGCTGTAGCTCTATTGGTTCCCGAGTTATGCGTTGGCTTCTTGGAAATTGTCGACATTCGACCTGGAAATCGGCGAAATTTTGCCTTCAATGACCTCTGGTGACCTTACCTTTGACCTGACCAAAAAATTGACCGAGTGTTTTCCTCATTATTTTTGACGCTTTTTCGAACGCCGCCTTCCGCGTATCGCTACGTGGCCCAGGAGCCGAGTTACAAGGGGGGGGGTGTTCAAACACCCCCCCCCCCCCCAGCAGGGCGTGGAAATCCAGGACCCCCAGCAGGGCGCGGGTCAAGCAGCACCCTGCACCCACTGTTCTACCTACAGACAGCTCGCTTTTCCAGCCGGACCCGCCGCCAGCAGCCTGAACCATTTTCTCCTGCTCTCTACTCTCTGCAGGTGCGCCGAGCGGCTCGCCCCCCCCCCCCGACCTCGCCCCCCCCCCCCCGGGCGTGTGTCGCTAAGAGGGGCGGGTCGCCGCGCGGTAGCGCAGTCGCCCCACGACGCCGGGTCAGGTCTGGTCCTTAGGTGCGAGCTTACGGTGAGCGCTGGAACTCAGGAGGGGAGTGAACTGGCGGCAGTAGAACCAAAGCACAGTGCAGTGAGCGGTCTTTGAAAAAAAACGAACTCTGCCAAAAAGCTGACGCGGTGAAACGCTTGTACATACATCGGGATAACAACACGTAAAAGCAAAGGTAAGTGTTTTGATCGAGAGGGCATACTGTGTAGTTGTGTGCTGGTGTATTCACTTCTGCAACATTTACATTTTGGCTAAATTATTTAACTTTATTTTGATTCAAACTGCATATGATTAGGTATTAATTATTTTTACGCTATGGTGGAAAAGAAACAATTGCAAATTTTCATTTTTCTCTTACCTTGAATAATTGATCAAGCTGCAGCAATTTTGTCCGTTCTGATTAAACAAAAACCATTCGGAAACATTTGTCGAGAATCGAAGTGGGCAACTCATTCTCATTCAGCTCGAGCTTGTCCACATGTCTGTCGTTTATTTTTCCATAGCAATAAATTATGTACATTCAACATTGCATAGATATACAAAAAAGCACAACTTTAAATGTCAAAGTAAATAATACGACCGTTGACGACAAAATATATCTGTCTCTAAGAATTCACCAACAAGCTAAAGTACGGGACAAGCTGCTAAAAGTTATTGCATCTCAACGCATTCAAATGAATCTGACCTTCCATTGTGTTCACGCTGAAGTAGATCAGCGCTACATCGACCGTTTAAGATGGTTGTTATGGCCAGTGGTAGGTTTTATGGAGTACTTGTAATTAAAGACCGTGACTTGTCAGCAGTCAACTTTTTGAAGTGATGGTCAAGTAAAGCTATAAAGAAAACTCCCCTAGAGGCGGTTCACGACCTCAGTGGTCAGCTTCCCGCCTTTTCGATGCGTTGGAAAGAACCCACTTTGAGTTTCTTGCTCGCCCTGATAAACACTTCTCAGGGGCAAGGAAAGAATAATCGAAAGACAGAACATAGGTATTAATGATAAATCAAAACACCAATAATGCGCGCTTCACATATTTCTCCATTATATGTGTGTTATTTATTCATTTATTTATGTTCTATTCTTTCTTCTTCTTTTTTGTTAGCCCTTAGCAATTATTGCAGGGTGCAGGTTTGATAGTTTATTGTTGGTCATTGCATTATCCATAGAATGCTCTACCTAAATATATAGCAAAGTGTGTGCATTATCATATTTATTCATGCATGTATCGCATCAATAAACTAATGCAAGATATAAAGCGTCCATACCTTTTATACAATTGCGAAAGCTAACTCAATTACCAACAGACCAACACTTATTTTTCAGATGACCCCTCGTGTGCTACTGAATGCTGCCTTGGCCGCTTCCATTATCGTGGTAAGTGTCCAGCATTTTTTCGTTTGAATTTATTGCTGCATATCGCTTGCAATCGCGAAGCCTCGAGAGCATAAAAGAAACAAATTACTTGTTGCCGGTAACCTTTATAGTGCTAATACTTGATTTCCACGCACAGCCCTTAGGTCCCAACGATGCAAGTATGAATATTATTCGGAAGTAATATAGCATCTGATAGCCCATGTGATAAGCAAAATCTGTATAGCAAGAAGTAGACTTTGGGATAGAAAAGCATGTCACTGTCATGTTTCAAATGCAAATGAGCAACGACGTTATCGAAACAGAACTTATAATCAGATGTTCAATTATCAAGTGCAGAAACTTAAGGATTCTTCAGGGCTACCGGCAAGTTGCATTACTTCTTTTTTATCGATATTGCATGGGACATTTAGGATAGATAATACGGTTTCATCACATATCTACACGTTGTCACTGTTTTCCAGGTACGTTCCGAGTTATCTTACAGTCAGTTGCCTTCCGGGAAGTTCAAAGCATTCCAATATCTGCTTGGTTCACTTTCCGCCCACTTTTCCTTTATCTGCTCTAGATAACCCAAGCAGTTGACAAAATTTGAAACTTATGATTTCCTGAGGAAAATATTTGGTGCGCTGAACAAACGCGTGAGCTCAAACCAATATTCAGAGTCTTTAGCGCTATCTTTTTCTTTGCATCGAATGCTCTCAGATTATTTTTGCATCACCATTCGTCAGATCAGACATTACAAAGTATTATGGAACAGGTGGGGAAGTGAATAACTAATAGCGTATTGATTATGATTATCATCTCGAAAAACAAGGCTATAAATATAAAAAAATGAATTATGTAGGATCATTGATGACGACTAACAAACTTTTGCCAACCACAAACCGTCGTATTGTGACACTGGCACCTGCCTGTCTGAGGCCGGGCTCGGCAGCTGTCTCACTGTCTCACGCCGGGTTCGGTACTTGTCTCACTCACTGTCTCACGCCGAGTTCGGCAGTTGTCTCACTGTCTGACCAGTTGTCTCACTGTCTGGCGCGGGGTTCGGCAGTTGTCTCACCGTCTCACGCGGCGTTCGGCAGTTGTCTCACTGTCTGACCAGTTGTTTGTTTGTTTGTTTGTTCGGTATATTGCCAACGGGATAAGGCCTTCCACGACTAGGCAAAGTCATCCGTATAAAACAATTTTGTTGTCTCACTGTCTGGTGCGGGGTTCGGTAGTTGTCTCACTGTCTGGTGCGGGGTTCGGCAGTTGTCTCACTGTCTGACGCGGGCTTCGGCAGTTGTCTCACTGTCTGACGCCCGCCACCAGGTGTGCAGCGCGGAGAGGGTCACACAGGAGGTCTACTTTGACATCGATATCGGTGACCGGCCGGCCGGCACCATTCAGATCGGTCTCTTCGGAGATGTGGTGCCGCGAACCGTCAATAACTTCGTCCGTTTGGCCACCGACGGCGCCACCTTCGACGGCCACTACGGCCGCTACGAGGGCAGCATCTTCCACAGGGTTATCCGCAACTTCATGATTCAGGGTAAGTGGAAAGGGAGATGAGTAAGCTGAAAGACGAAGTCGAGGATCCAACTCAGGGCTGATCTTCCAGTGCATTCTCAAAACTCAGCGATCCTGCGACGCTTCTTGAATATCTCATCTTCCATTTTGTGTTTTGTTACGGAGCGAGCGAAGCGAGCGTAGTCTTTCCTTAGATTAACGGAAATTTCTGAGTATGAGCGGCCGGCCGGCCGGCCGTGGTCACGCTTTTGCGAGGCTTATATCTCAGCAACCACTTGACCGATTTACACGCGGTAATTTTTGTAGGGTAGCTTCATTCCTTCTACCAAGTATTGGACTATTCCTGATGCATGTGGGTGACCCCTTATGCACGTGCCACGTGCAAAACGAAGAGGTGTCCGTTTTGTAATTGTTGCAATATCTCGGTAACTACTTGGCCGATTGCGCTGAAAGTTGGCATGTAGGTAGGCACCCACTAGGCACTGCATATCCATGTGCCACAGTTGGGGTGCTGCTGCACGTGCGCACGTGCAGGGGTCGTTTCCAGATCTCGAGAACGGCTCGACCGATTGCGCTCAAATTTGGTACACAGTTAGGGACCAGTTAGTAGGGTGCCGTGCACAAGTCAGTTGGGACCCATTTTGCACGTGCGCACGTGCAGGATGCCGCTTCCAGATCTCGAGAACGGCTTGGCCAATTGTGCCCAAATTTGGCACATCGCTAGAGACCGGTTAGTAGGGTGCCGTGCACAAGTCAGTTGGAGGTACCCCCTCGCAATTTCGCACGTGCAAGGCCCACCCTCTCGCTCGCTCCGTTAATCGCCCCAAAAGGCGTTATACTGGTTTTTAAATATGCCTTATGAGTGTTTCCTGAGCATGGTCTTGATAGCTTAGTGTTTTAGTTTTCTATTAACTCTTTTGAACCTCTTTTCCCGCTGGGTACGAAAGTGGCAGCACTTTACCCAGATTATTTATCGCAGGCGGTGACTTTGAGCGCGGTGACGGCACTGGTGGCTTCAGCATCTACGGCGGCACGTTCAAGGACGAGAACTTCCGGCTGCGTCACACGGGTCCCGGCATGATCAGCATGGCCAACTCGGGCCGTGACACCAACGGCAGTCAGTTCTTTATCACGACAGTTCGAGCGCCGTGGCTGGACGGTACTCACGTCGTCTTCGGAAAGGTCAGAGACGACAGCGTGAAGTGCGATCATGAGAAGAAGAAGGTCGCTAAGGCCCTGGATACATTTTGAACAGTCAAAACTTCTAAGATAACCGAAATATCTAAAACATAATATACAATTACCAGTGTTTCTATTTTTTGGCGATAGCGCGGCATCACACATCAGTAATCTCTTGTTCTCTTATGACCAGACAACTTGACATAGGTGACATGTTATATAAAACGGTTTGATTGAAGTGTGATGGCTGAAAAAAACTTCCCAATGCCTTGTATTACCCTCCGCTGATCGTCTGTGACCACAGGTGACCAGCGGCATGGACGTGGTACGTCAGATTGAGCAGCTGGCCACAGGTCCCGACGACCGGCCCCTTCAGGAGGTGCGCATCCGACGCTCCGGTCTCACCAACACGCTGCCCTTCGAGATGGACCTGCGCGACCCGCTCTTGTAAGTAAGCTGGCTCGGCAGTGGCCGTCGACAAAGGAGCAAACGTTGCTACGCATGAGTGGTAATTTTTATGAAGTTAAGTTCAGCATCAAGCGCTCATTTACTATTGAATATAAGGCAATTATATCTATGCTTTCCTTTGAAATGTTTCGAAAAGTGGAGCACAAATTATATCAAGCTTAGGTATATAACTAGATGCCTTGACTTGTCTTGTGTCCTTTTATATATTATGTTTCATCACTTCTTTTGGTTTTGATTGTCCGCCACGCTTTCGCCCCCTTTCAAGTGAATCTCACTTTCTTGCATGCCAGGAGCAACATGTTCTGGGTGAAGTTCGTCGTCATACCAGCGACCATAACAATCATATTAGCTATCTTCTTCCGGCATGTTCTGAAGAAATTTGACGTCATTGATAGCGCATATTATGAAATTTGCGAAAAGAGACAAAAACTAAAGAAACAAATTAAATCGGGCAAAAAGGAAGAAGAAAAGCTTGAGCCTGTCCCAGAAAAAGCTGAGGCGAAGAAGGATAAATAAATAATATATAAGGTTATACAACATTAGCATTTTATAGGTATATTAGCATGGACCCATTACCGATTAATATAGTTAGTATCTGCACTATTGCGTCTCCTTTTAGCACAAACATTCCCTATTCAAGAAAACTCGATTACGATTGTCCTATTTTGACTGCAAAGCGTTATCTAAGTAGAGCGCAGTCTCGCTTTAGGTAACTAGCGTTTTTAGCACAGTTTGTATTCCATGGCATGCTTAGATAGCTCTGACTTGTACGCCTTGTCATGTTTCATTTTCTTGCTGCTGTGTGGGTGAAGCCCAGCAAAATCTGTTCGCCTTACAAGGAAAATGTTCTCAGAAATGACACAGAAATTCAGCATTTTCCTCTTTCTTTGCAGAGTTTCCGTGAGACTTTGCGGCTACTCGTTGTATTAGTTTGTCACCCCGCATGTGTGCATTTTATCTCCAGTTCCTGGAATTTCCTCCAGAAGTATGGAGTCAGTCATCGTTCTTTGTATTTTGATGCTTTTATACATATTGATTTATGTCTGTCCACTTATCAGCCTGGCATCCAGCAGCAGTTAGAAGAGCCTCGCTATGAAATCTGAGATTTAGATGCAATACATATATGCGGACCATTAAACTTTTGCAAGTCGCAACCAGCCATGTTTCGCTTTGCCCTCTGATGACCCTGATAACCTCTAATGACCTCTGACGACCATTGATGTATACCTTTCTAACTGTGCTGCGTGCTTTTCACAGCGGTTCCGCAGCGTCGGCGGTACCATCTTTCCTGACGCTGGCTTTGGCCGTGGTCGCTGGACGCCTGTGAAGTGCATCTCACACCACCCAGGGACGCGAAACAGCAGAAGAGCGCCCCTCACTTTGACCTGCGTGAGCGCCCCTTTCGTCCCGAATGGAAGTCTTTTTTTAGGTAGCTGTCGCGAGGCCATACAAAAAGCATGGTCATCACTGCCTTGGTCGAAAAACGAAGTCCTACAAGCTTTATTCGGGATTTGAGTGATGCTGTGAACGTCTGTAAAAGTGTGCGCACGTATGTACCTTTACGTGGCTAGGAAGTATGTTACGAGCAGTATGAGCGTCGTTGACGCCAAAGAGCTTTCTGGAGAAGTCATCTGGCGTATTGCGACGCTTACTGCATGAATGTGTTGAAAATAACTGCGGAAACGTGCATTGTATTTGTATTTATATATAATCAAAAAGGGATGATACATGGAAGAGAATAGAGAAGTAGTGTGTACTTGTAATGTCTCAGCTGCGAGAAATCGTATCTCAAAATGCTGAAACACGGTATGAAGCTTTACAAGTCGTTTTTAGGGCGAACGATAGGGTACCATCTACATAGGTGACCAATGCTGAATTAGTAGAGTTTTGATTGTACAATCTGCGAATTTACATAGACGGTTTCTTTTATTTTGAGTGCTGACCGCTGTTTTGTTTGTAAAAAAGCAATATGACACGTGCTTGAAATGTAAAACAAAAATGCGTGTTTGATGCGTGTTTGATGGGTCACCTGAAAGCTGACTCATACTTGTTTGACAACATCACGTTCAGATAAATCGAAAATAAACAAAATGTATGTAGATAGCCAAGTGTTTATATCAATTTTAGCTCCAATTCAGCTTACGATGGAAGACTGCATTCATAGGGATGGGTAAACGTAGCTGGCACACACATATGTAATTCAGCTCGCAATTGCTTCCTTGAAACAAATGCTACCACAGAACCGATTTGAAATTTATCTTGGCACGATACATTAAACACATTTTGTTTTGACCTCGCTTTATTGCAAATAGGTTGGCTCGCCAGGGAAAAATCCATTTTTGGCAATGTTAATGGGCTGTTTGCGCATCTCTACAATGTTTCATAACTCAGTCTTTATATCACACAGCAATTATTACATAACTTGTCACTACGGAAAGATAATTCTAGAGTGAACCAGACAACCTGCACAGGTAACTGCTATCACTAAACGCACGCGATGTTCAACCTTTCCTCTATGCTCTCGCTCTACTTTTACGAGACTCAGATACGCATCAGTCGCGCGGCCGATCCTGGGCCAGACACGGACAGTGTGCGGTGGAGATAAGTTTCCTGATCGGAGAGTTTCCTGGTAGCAATGGTGGCCTTATCTGCTCGGATCAGACCGGCCCCGGTTGCCTCCACGGCACGACAGTGCAGCCTCCCTCTGCAGCACGTGAGTCTGCGGGAATAGAGCTGCAACCGGGCTGCAAACTGTTACCCACAAACCCCGCTGACACACAGACACATTCACACATGCGCATTCAGTGGCTGCTAAACGTCATGTCTCATTGTGGAGATTGGAATGTTTAGACTCAGCAAACGCAGTGCGCAGAGCGGGCACTTTCCTCTGGCGTATCCGGAACTGCACACTCGCACAGCTGCGTAGCGAGAGAGATGACGTGCACACCAATAGACGGCTAAGTACTCAAACCCGGTGAAAGCAATAATTTCAGTTTGTTTTGCCGATAAAGAAACATGGAACGTTTGCGACGAACTTAAATGAATGGTCGCTCGTTTTGTTACTTTGTTTGGCACTTGTTTTTACAACGTTTACTGTAGGTTTATAAAGGTCACATAGAGCAGCCAATAAAGAGGAAATACACCACGAACTTCGTGCATCATAGATCAAACAAACATCAAACATTAAACAACATATAATTTTCGGAAACATTGTTAGGTTGAAATCACGTGTCGCTGAAATGGCACACAAATAGTCGTTTTCACGACGGCAATCTGGTACACATTCTCTTCACATCTGGTGCAGATTTGGGGCAGATATGGTCAAATTAGGTGACTAACTGTGTTCCTGAGTCAGACCTGAGACATTATCAGTTCTTGTTGCAGTTACTTATACACCTCATGTATTTCAAATTTCCGGACAAAATTTTCGTTTTGGGCAAAATTTTCGATTAAAACACTGAAATAAGTCCATGAAGATGTTTGTTGAAAATAACTTTGATACATATTTGGTAAGGTTTAGTGCATTTGCTAGAAAACCCGAAGTGATAGTATATAGTAGCAGCGCTGCGTCATAAAATCTGTTTTTGTGACCTACAAATATATGCATTGATATTAATCACTCCTTAGTCCTTATCTTCACAAAAATAATCGCTCCCAATCATGCCTGGAACGCGGCAGAGCATTTTTGCTCATTCCATGACCCTGACCCAATGGAGTTGTCAACGCGCTCTGCTACCAAAGTGCCGAGCACGGGTTGACAGTTTCTCTCACGCTCTCGATCTGTCAAAGTGTGCATCAATCGTGTTCCCGCAGTTCCCACACCCTGGACACGAGTCAGCGATTGTCACAAGTCGGCAGGAAACGTTCAGTTGAACAAATTGGCTCCACGGCGCAGTGCCTGACGGGACCGGCGCCCCGCACCCGTGCCTCCCTGCCTCGCCGGATCTACTGATAAGACGTGACACTCGAGTTCTACCCCCTGCAGCTGCCTGAGCTGCGGTCCTGCAGGAATGCACGAGGGAGGAGCAGGCTGGGAGGAGGTGGAGGCGTGCGTGACACCCGCCGATCGGTCAAGGTGACGGTAATTGTTACTTTGCCGAGGTCTACATAGATTACGACAGCGCCAATATAGTAATGGACGACATCCGCCGGAGAAAAAGGCATACGCGTTTCGTATCACGTCCAAATTGAGCGATATAGCGAGTTTGAACGAGACCTTTTCCTTCACGTTCACCGAGTATTTGTGAAAAAGCCGGTGCTGTACTATTTCCCTCGGCGTTGATTATTGAAACTTGGGAAGCAGGATTTGTGTCTCCTGTCTATGTATAATACCTTGAGCAGCATCTTAAAAAGAGAGCAGTGATTTAGGCAGAGCTAGATGATAATGCCTTCTTCCTGTTTCCGGGTGCACCAAGTGGGAGCCCAGGTTCCATCCACTCCCAAGCGTTTGTAAAATTGATGGCTGACAGGGATGGCCTGTGGCTGATGAAGTGAGCCCTGCAAACTCGGAGCGGCACCGATCAATAGGTCTATGTGACGGTATATTGTATCTATCTACTACAAAACCATTATCGAGAGCATCAGCATCAGCACTCAGCAGCATCAGCATCAGCAGCGTATATAGCATTAACTTTGTTATAAAAAGCAGCTCCATGTAAAGCCTCAGCAGCACTGCAAAGCTACAATGTAAATTACTCGCCGTTGCAATAGCATATATATGTTTTGCGGGAATACCTTACCGATTGCATTTAATGTAAAAAATAGCCTGATGTCTAAAAGATTCAGAAAAACGCGCCAAAATATGACCTAAATAGTTCGGTGGTGGAATCCAGGATGCTGTTCACAAGTCTACGGTTTCCTGTACGGACATTGATTTGTGAAGCCCTTGGGGGCGCCGGTGGCGGCCTGGGGTGGGTTCGGGAGGGGGGAGGGGGTACGTCGGTGGCGGCCCTGAGGCGCGTCCGAGCGAGGGGAATCCTTACACAGACACACGCCCCTACCCTTCCCCCAACTCCCACCACCCTTGTTCACGGAAGAGACAACCATCGAGCTGGGACGGGCCCCTATCAGACCACACCATGATTTGCAGGACAGTTCAAAAAGGCAATGATCATTGATCATACATACATGTATATGGTGCATGCGTAGTCACTAGTCAGCTCCGTATAGTTACCACTTACCAGTAGCCGTTTTCACGACGGGATATCTGGCGAAAGCATCTAATTTGACCAAATCTGCACCAAATTTCTTCTACGACAAAAATCTTACTATCATTGATCTATTTCAGTGTTATAAACGAAGATAATGTCTGATAATTTGAAAAATCAGGTCTGTAAGCATCTGTGCAAACCAAACTGACAATTTATAAGAAACACAATGAACCTAATTTGACCAAATTTGCACCTTATCTGCACCAAATGTGTACCAGATGGCCGCCGTGAAAACGGCTAATCTAGTTGGCTAAGAACGGTCAATAAAATATATTATGCACTGAATGACCAATGTTTGATCTGAAGAGGGTTTTGTGTTTGAATTCGGACCGTGACAACGCCGCGGGGTCGAAACTCACCAAGCCGATGAATGAGCTTGGTCATCTATCGTTTATTGGTGAATTTTCAAGGTCATTTGTCTTATTAAAGCATCCCGGCACTACCATAACTAATTTGCTCGTTACTAGTATAATCGATCCTCACTGAGTTTTTAGTTTCCGTCTAAACAATCGAGGCCCCAGCGCAAACTCAGTCCAATGTGTCCGTACACTCCGGTGAATAAACCGTCCATCTGTAAATCGTTCAGGATGATCGGGTGTTCAAGGCTGGTTCAAGCTGGCAAACAGCGTGTGGTGATCGTTCGGCCAGTGTAGCTGCTGGAAACTGGCGGATAAGGATCACACTGCTACACCAAAGAGGATCAGACTGTCGTCTTAGTTTATGGATTTACCTACAGTTTGAATGCCTGAGCGCCGGTGAACCAGGCGAGGGATGCACGGGCGATGGGTTCGTGGTGTCACTTGCAGCAAGTTCACTTAGCGAGGCGCCGGGACTGCAGGGCCACAACCACCCACTTGTCCATTCGGGTAAAATCTCATTTTTATCAAACACTAGTTAGAGTATAATGTTAAAGTATAGTTAAAGTATACCTACCTGTTTTGCATGTCATCACTTGTGTATCGTCTTCGAGTATTTTCGTATTTCAAACCAGTGAACAAGGCTACTCAATAAAGCCTAAATATTTTTTAAAACAATTTTTGTACTTCAGTGTAGCCCGAAACGAATACGAAATATAATCATTTACATGAGGAAGATTGGAAATGACACTTCGTCAAAATAATGGTGTTAATTAACCACTTAGCAAACACCTCAACGTTTTAAGTTCATTAATGAAAGTACGGGATAAACAACACTACGCTGGCTCCCGATGATGAAAGATGTTTTGATGACAGAGAGTAAGTCATTTCCTTTGAATGAATATCTCGAGATTGCCATTGATATGAAGGCACGCAATGGCCTTGAAATAACGACCGAGTGACAAAGCAATGCAGCGGATGTAGAGTGCGCCGCTCAGGCGCTGTGCCCCGGATGTGTAGCGTGCCTTTGTGGCGTGATGTGCCACCATCAGACGCAATATATCAAGGTCACGATCGTTCGCTTACTCATATGCGGGCGACGTCTCTGGTCAAGGGCAAGGACAAGATTCAGGCGGTGTACGTCGCCCTCCAATCGCAGATCAGTGGGATGTGGGTTGAAGCTGCCATTTTACGTGAGCCTGAATTGTAAACCGGAACCATTTGACACGGGACACCAAACAGTTCAATCAGAAAACGGTGTTGGTATTCGTAAGTTGATGTGACCGCAGGCGGCATCATAGGGTGTCGCGTGCCAGCCGACACGATTACCAGTGCTGCCATTGATTATGGCTGGAATAAGACATTGACCTTACTCTAAATCCTTTGAAGACAGTCATCATCGAGCGGTCGGTCCGTGCTCCGATATGAGCATCCAAGAGAATAGCGAGAGAGATGTCATAGCATAACTTCAGTTCACCAAACCCATAGCGTTCCATAGCGATAAGTATTGGAAAGAGCAGTAGTAGGTTGTCGCA